AGAACCACTCCCCTAGGCCTGGGGAGTCACCTCCAACACCTCTGCAGTGGCCACTAGGGGTGCATTAGGTGGCCACATATGTATTCCTAGGCCCTGTTGCACACTTTTAAAAGACTTAGCTAAACACCAAGGGAGGACAACTGGGAAATATAAGCAAAAGCAGAAGCACAAAAATAGTTTGGCTGACTCAGCAGCAGAGTTCTGATCCCACTCCTGCTAGCCCTGCAGGGCTGCCGGCTTGGCTCAGAGAGCAGGCTCCTGCCTGGAGACTGGCAAGTATTATGTCACAGGCTCCTTGCTCTTTAGGCCTTGGACCATGTCCCCAAGGAGGTCGTCCCCTCCCAGTCCCACTGTAACATCCACAGTCAAGTACAAGAGAGACGCTTTCTCAATCCATACACAGCCAAGAGTAGGTGCTCAAGAAATATCAGATGAAAGAATGAATAAACCTTATCAATCAACCTAGAACCTGTTTTCTTTCAGCTCTGATTTCTGATCTGAAGATACAACACTCCTCCTTATTACTGACACCAAAAAGGACCTCTTTCTCCAGTGAGACTAGACCCCTTCTGTCCCTTACTCTTAAGAGTGTGGCTTCATCCTTGAATTCATCTGATTAAACAACTCTTTTTAACTTTATTGAGATACAATTGAAATATAATATTGTGTAAGTTTACTGTGATAATGTGATAATTTGATACATGTATATACCACAAAATAATGACCACTATAAAGTTAGTTTGATTAACCAACTCTTAATAACCACAGCATTCACTGAAAAGCCCAGTGCAAATGGGAAATACTTGTACCTCATGTGCCATTCTGTATTTTTACTCACGAAAATAGACAGCCTTTCATTAGTGCTCATTACATGCATTAGCCTGACAACTCCTTGTTACAGAGAAGGCTGAGACTTAGAGGACTTGAGTGGCAGAGCCGAGCCTAAGTTCAGATCTGTCCTACTCTGAGGCCCAAGCAGCTCTTAGTCATCATGTCCTACAGCTCCCAGATATTCAGTAGAGTGTTTTCAGTCTTCCTTACGGTTATAAACCTGCAGAGCACATTTCATGGCTTCTATTTCTTTTTAAAAAAAATATTCCCCCCCCCAATATATTTGTATTGATTTCAGAAAGGAAGGGAGAGGGAGAGAGAAACATCAATGATGAGAGAGAATCAATGATCAGCAGCCTCCTGAATGCCCCCTACTGGGAACCAAGCCCAAACTGGGACATGTGACCTCCTGAGCCACACCAGCCCGGCTCATGGTTTCTATTCTTTGCAACCTCAGAACTCTTCACTCAGAGGGAAGCACAGAATCAAGGCTCACTGTTTACTGAATGAGTGAATGAATAGGTTAAGTTACTGCTAATTCAAAGCCCTGCTTGTCAAGTGTTTCAGAGTGCGGTTTGAACTTCAGGAAGAGTGAGGCTAACTCTGAACATTAATATTAGAGTTAAAATAAGACCAGATCAGGGGGACTTGGTTGAGGCTATAGAAGTGTGGATTCAAATCCTGAACAGCGGTGAACCTGCTGGCACAATCCTTACTTTTCTGACCCTCCCATGTAGGACTATAATGAGGCCCACAGACAAGAATAATATCTGTGGCCCGTCCGGCGTGGCTCAGCGATTGAGCATCAACCTATGAACCAGGAGGTCAAAGGTTTGATTCCCCAGTCAGGGCACATGCCTGGGTTGCGACTTGGCAGCCAATCAATGATTCTCTCTCATCATTTATGTTTCTATCTATCTCTCCCTGTCCCTTCCGCTCTGAAATCAATTAAAAAAAAAAAAAGAAGAATGTCTGCGATGGTACACCTTGTGAACTATAATAGATACAGACGCCAGGAAGTATTACTGTTATTGTTATTCAGCTTTTATTTCTTCCCTCCAGGTAGTTGACCGAGTCATCTGTCTAAGACCTCCACCTCCCACCTTGCTTCCTCTAGTTACCACCATTTCTCTTGTCCCCTTAAGGCAGGGGGGGGTGGGGAACACTGGGCCTACAGGCTGTATAAGGCCCGTGAAATCATTTGATCCCTGCCAAGGCATGAGGGGTGAGTTAATTAAATGTTTGACCAAATATAGCAGGCTAATTTTTAATTTAATAATTTTGTATGACCCTCAAATGATGTTATAAACATCCAGATGGCTCTTGGTAGAAAAAAAGGTTCCCCACCCCTGCCTTAAGGAGCGGCAACATGAACAGGTGTTTTAACATGGACACAAGTGACTACACAGGACTTAAATCCTTGCTTCATTACGCACTAGATCGGAGGTATTGGCAAGTTACTTGACTTTTTCCAGCTGCCGTTTCCTCATCTCCAAAGCTCTCGCCTTGACGCCTCCCTTCCTGAAGTCATCTCCTTTGCTTCCAGGACACCATATTCTGCTGGTCGGAAGTCCTTCCACCTTTCCGACTGCTTCTTCTCCTTTGAGGGTTTCCCCTTTCTGTCTGTGGGTGTTCCTTAGGGTTTTGTCCTAGCCCTTTTCTTATGCGTCATCTTTCCTAAGAGACGCCCCATGGCTTTGATTACCTTCTAGTTGCCTTTGGTGTAAAATAATCCACCTCCAGCCCTTACCGGTTTGGCTCAGTTGATAGAGCCTCAGCCTCAGGACTGAAAGGTCCCAGGTTCGATTCCGGTCAAGGGCATGTACCTTGGTTGCGGGCACATCCCCAGTTGGGGGTGTGCAGGAGGCAGCTGATCGACGTTTCTCTCTCAACAATGTTTCTAACTCTCCGTTCCTCTCTGTAAAAAAATCAATAAAATATTTTTTAAAAATCCACCTCCAATCCCAACCTTCCTCCTGGGGTGACTCTGTGACATGACCCTGAGCTCAGGCCTTTCCTTGGTGTCTCACAGACACCTCACAGGACCATGATGAGGTCACCTCCCCCAGCCAAGCCTGTTCTTCCTGTGCTCTTTCCCCAGACATGGAACCCCTTCCCCCAGGACCTGGGGCTTTTTTTTTTCACTTGACAAACTTATTTTTTTTTAACCTACATCCTCTCCTTGTACCTTTCTCCACATTATTTCTCTCCTAGACTACAGAAACATCTTGGTCTTGTAACCACCACTTTCCTCCTCCAATCCATTCTCGAAGAACTGGATGGTCTAACTAAAATATCAATTCTGAAGTTACCACTCTCCCTCCTCAAATCCCTTAATGGCACCACACTACCTTTAAGCAGGTTTACTGGATCTTTGTTCCACCCTCATTTCTCACCTCTCCAATCCCATTTCCCCTGACAGGCTGCATTCCATTTTGCCTCTATTTTCCTCCCTGCCGGAGTACTTTCTTCTCTTCCCTTGAAGAAAATGAATAATTCTTTTTCTTTTTTTAATCATTAAGGCCCCAGCCTTAGTATCCCTGCCATCAGTACCATTTTCCTGATACCTCCTGACTGGGTTAGGCACCCTTGCTAAGTGCTCCCCAATTCACACATCCAACAAATAATAATTGGGCATCTACTATCTGCCAGGCATTGTTCTAAATCCTGGAGATTCAATAAATAAGATGATAAAGTTCCTGTCCTAGTGGCTGGTAGATAAAAGAGAGAGAGAGAGAGAGAGAGAGAGAGAGACAGAAATAATTCCACATGGTCATGAAAACTATGAAGGAGCCCTAACCGGCTTGGCTCAGTGGATAGAGCGTCAGCCTGAGGACTGAAGGGACCCAGGTTCGATTCCAGTCAAGGGCATGTACCTTGGTTGTGGGCACATCCCCAGTGGGGGGTGTGCAGGAGGCAGCTGATCAATGTTTCTAACTCTCTATCTCTCTCCCTTCCTCTCTGTAAAAAATCAATAAAATATATTAAAAAAAAAAAACTATGAAGGAAAATAAAGGGGTAGGGAGTGCTGGATAGAGCCAGTGATGGGGCTAATTTTAAGAAGTGAGTTTAGAAAGGAAAGTTTGGAGCCAGACTCTGTAGGCCTTGGCGGCCACAGTAAGGAGTCTGAATTTTGTTCTAAGATGGAAATTCACTGGAGAGTTTGGTGCAGGGAAGTGACAGGATCAGATTTATATTTTTAAGGTCATTTTGGCTGCTGTATAGAAATTAGACGGTAGGGGGGAAGATGCCAAGACAGGGAGAACATCTGCCAATTACAGCCTGCCATGGACTTGTCCCTTGTTCCACATCCACTGTACCTCAGAGTCCTGGAAAAGGCTCTTCTTCAGTATAAATCACTCTTCACCTCCATGCAGCCTAGTTAATGCCTATTCATCTTTCAGAACTCACCTGAGATGTTGTTTTCTCCAAAAATTCTCTCCCTCCACGCACAGCTCTCCTGTAACACACATTGATAGCCCTTACGTCTCCTTTGTAGCTCTTATCCCAATTAATTGTATAGTGGCTTACTGTCAGTTGGAGTGTCCGGAGGCTGCTAACTCCTTTGCCGGCTGGTCCGTCAGTGGGTAAGCCCAGTAGGATATGGTGAGTCTGTCCACCTCCCTTCCTATCCCCATGGCCATATCCCAATGTGTAGCATAGCAGCGGGCACCAGTCTGGTGCTCAGTGAACATTTGTGGAATGACTGAAGAACAGAGGAACAAATTACACAGACCTTATACCCACTCCACCCCTCAAAAAAACAAGGTGGGCCCTAGCTGGCTTGGCTCAGTGGACAGAGCGTCAGCCTGCGCACTGAAGGGTCCCAGGTTCGATTCTGGTCAAGGGCACATGCCTAGGTTGCGGGCTTGATCCCCAGTAGGGGGCATGCAGGAGGCAGCCAATCAATGATTCTCTCTCAACACTGATGTTTCTATCTCCCTTTCCCTCTCCCTTCCTCTCTGAAATCAATAAAGACATATATTTTTTAAATGTTAAAAATACCACACACAAGGTGGGCAGAGGAGAATTTTAAGGTTTTATCCTCTCTTCTTCATTAGTAAATTACGACCATCCCTACAAATAACAACAATGATGATTAATAAGTGAAGTGCAAACGCCCGGAGGGAGAGTTAAGATCCAAATGGTGCCACATCCATGACGCCTACCGTGGGCGAAGTAAAACAGCACCCCAACCGGAGGAGGTGAGGACAAACCCACTGCAGCCTGCACAGCGGGGTGGGCGGGGCTGGAGGGGGGGCTCCGCAGCGTCCGCGTCCCAGCGAGGATGCGCCCCACCACGCGCAGCCGCAAGACGCTCGGGGTCCGCGGGGCGGGGCGGGGCGGGGCGGGGCCGGGAGGAGGCGTGGCCTAGCTCAGGAAGGTGTCCCTCTAATGGCCAGAAGGCGGGACGCAGGGCCCTTCCGCACGCCTTATTGGTCCTCCGACGGCTCTCCCTGACCAGTGGGAACCCAGATGGGGCGCAAGCGTATTTGGGGGTCTACGGGAAAGAGGGAGCGGGAGTCACGAAGCGCGCATGCGCCTCGGCCCAGGAGCCGCCCCCCCAGTATAAAGCGAGGGGGTGTGGTGGGGAAGGGAGATAGAATTCCCTCAATGAATCCAGGACAAACAAGATTCGTGAGCTTCCTCCTCTAGGAGCCTCCGGATAGCAGCCATTCAGCGCCCAGAAACTGCCCCGTTGGGAATCCCAATCCACCTTATTGTGTCGCCCTGGCCGCACCCCAGCCCTCCCTGAGGCGGGGCTGTTATGATGGTGAATTATTCAAGGAGTCTTGCGGCCTGACGCCGTCTGCGGACAGTGCCCCTTCCTCCTCCCTTCCTTCCCAGTAGGGCACCGTGGCTATCCCCAAGTCATAGGGCCCCAAAGCTGCTTTCAAGGCCCCACTCTGCCACTGAAGTAACGGGTTTGTTGAGGACCTACTAAGTGTTAGGCCCAGTGCAATGAGCAAGTCCCTGCTCTCCGGAGCTTACATTTTATGGGACAACAGACAAAAACAAGATAATTTTGGCTCGTGATAAGTGCTCAAAACAACATGACAGTGTGATAAAGTGACTGGAGGTTGCTCAACGAGGTGAATTAGGCTTAAGTGAAGGCAACAGCCCTGGGGCCCAGCGTTTAATGCTTGGGGAAAAGCAGGTGAGAAGGCCCTGTGCAGAGCAGACCAGGTTTTACCTGTCTGTAGCTGGGAAGAAGTTCGGAGATTATTCTAAATACAATGGGAAGACTTTAGATTTGGGTGGAATCTTGATGTGACATGATTTCTTACTTTGCTGGGTGGAGAACGGAGTGTTAGGAAGAAAGGAAATAAATCCATTCAGATGCTGGCAGAAACGGGGACATGAGCTGGGTAGCTGGTGAGACATGGATGAGTTCAGAATAGGATTGGGTGTGATGGATGAGGGAGAAGAAAAAATCAGGTTGAGTCCCAAGCTTTTGGAATATGCACCTGTGTGGTGGTGGCACTTGGTGAGATGGGACAGTGGAAATGGGCCAGGTGCTAGAGGTGGGAATCAGGAGTTCAGTTGTGGCCATGTTGAGGCTGAGACACCCATTAGACATCCAAGCAGAGATGTCAAGTTGGAGGCCTAAGCCCATGGAGAGGTCAAGGTGGGAGTTATCCATGGACACCTGGATGGTATTTAAGCTACAGGTCTTGGAAGAGCCATCTGCTGACAGTGAAAGTAGAAAAGGGCTGAGGGGAGAGCCCTGGGGCTTCCCGTGTTAATCCGTCCAGCAGAGGTGTCAAGCAGTGGTTCTCAACCTTCTGGCCCTTTAAATACAGTTCCTCATGCTGTGACCCAACCATAAAATCATTTTCTTTCTTTTTTTTTTAAAAATATATTTTATTGATTTTTTACAGAGAGGAAGGGAGAGGGATAGAGAGTTAGAAACATCGATGAGAGAGAAACATCGATCAGCTGCCTCCTGCACACCTCCCACTGGGAATGTGCCCGCAACCAAGGTACATGCCCTTGACCGAAATCGAACCTGGGACCCTTCAGTCCGCAGGCCGACGCTCTATCCACTGAGCCAAACCGGTTCCGGGTATAAAATCATTTTCGTTGCTACTTCATAACTGTAATGTTGCTACTGTTATGAATCGTAATGTAAATATCTGATATGCAGGATGGTCTTAGGCAACGCCTGTGAAAGGGCTGTTTGACCACCAAAGGGGTCGCGACCCACAGGTTGAGAACCACTGGTGTAAGGGCTTCAAAGGGTACCGAGAGGGTAGAGTAGGAGGAAAAAATAGGAGAACATGGTATCTTTTAAGACAAGAAAGGGAAAAGTCAAGAAGAAAGGTGCTGATTTTCTGGGTAAAGGCCTGTTACAGAGTTTAAGCAGCAGGCAGAGAAATGGCCACTTCTTGGCTGCTGAAAACGTTATCGAGAGCCGTGCCTGGGGATCGGGAATGGAGTGCAGGGAAGGAAGAGAAAACACTCTGCTATGAAAAGGAGCAGAGGTACAGTGTGGCGGCTGAAAGGAATGGAAGTCTTGAGGGAGTTTTATCTGTAAGAGACACTAGAACAAATTTCATTGATGACAAAAAATAATCCAGGAGGGAAGGGGGAAATTGAAATTTATTGAAGGCTTACAGTGTGTTAAGGGTTTTACAAACATTTGCCCTCGCAGTGTTTTACAGGTCAGGAAACTGAGGTTAAATAACTTGCCCAAGGTCATGCAGCTAGAGGTGGCAGAGCTGGGAGGTCACCCAGGTTTTTATGACTCTTCATGCTTCACCACCCAGTTGTATAGGCACACAGCCCCTTATGCTTCCACACCCTGGGCAGGCCTTGCCCTGGCCATAGTGCCCCTGACAAATCAGAGAGAGTTACTCTCATGCTGGGGGTTGGGGGGTGGGGTAGGACTTGATTATTTTCGCCCTCCAGTGCTGTAAGCAGGGTATCTCCCCCACAGCCTGAATACCCATGCAGTACAGGACAGAAGCTCTCCCAGGCCAGAGGAGCAGAGGCAAGCAGCAGGGGCCCCAGAGGTAGGAGAGAAAGGAATAACAGTGGGTATACAGCGAGTTTCTTTCTGTGTCAGCCAGTGCGAGGGAATGCTGGAGGCTGCTGGTCCCAACCAGCTGGGGCCTGTAGCCCCAGCATTCACCTGGATCTGTTCAATGCAGCAAGAAGCCCACATCAGAGCCCTGTCTCCCGGGTGCCCCCATTGAGGCTGAGGCTGTGGGGGCGAGTACCCCGCTCGAGCCTGCGGCCAGACAGGAGGCGCCGCAGGGAGGAGCCGGAGCTCAGATCCCCGCAGCTTCTAAGATGGAGACTCTCTCGGCCTGGCCGTCCCCACCGGCTCCGGGGCACCTGAAGGGGGACACAGGAGAGGACAGCCATGTGGCCCAGCCCGAAGCCCCAGGCTTTCCTGGCATCTTCCCAGGCTCCCCTAATCCTACCTGCTTATGCCCAAGGGCTCCATTCCCACTGGGGTCCGGGGTCTTCTTGGACATCTGGAGGAAACGGGTGACCAAGGCCCGGCCCGGCCAGCTGCCCTTCAGGTCCCCCAGCGAGTGGGCAGGTGTAGGGCCCGAGGGCAAGGGGACCTTCCGGTAGGTGGGAACAGGGCGCTGTTTCCCGGCTGAATGAGCACGGAGCAACTTGGGGGAAGGGCAGCGGGCTAGATGGAAGAGGCAGGCTTCAGAGCAGAGCCCTGGAGAGAGAGAGAGAGAGAATGGGTGGAATGGGAGGTGCAGAGAGGGCCAGGCAGCACGCCCCCAGCCCCCAGGCACTAACCACACGCCTGACCTGTATCTGCAGAGGAAACTGAAGCAGCTTCTTCCTCAAACACTTTGGTATAAAGGTCCCTGAAGTCAGCTGTGGAGGGAGAGCCAGACAGGGCCTTGCTCAATGGACACACCTGCCCAGCCTACCACCCTCCTGTGAGAACGCAAGCCCAGAGGAGCTTTCACAGCTCCCACACCCCATCCCCAACCCAGGGGGCATCGTCTCTGCCCACAGGTGGTACCATTCACCAAGGCGGGGGCCAAGGCCGTAGGGCTCACAGGGACACCCTCCCCGGGCCGGGCACACGCGGTGATCATGAGCTCGGCTTGTGCTCAGCATTTGCTGGCAGCGCCTCACTTCTCAGTCACTCGCAGGCAGCGAGGGTGGAGGGACTATTGCTGTGCCTGCTTTACAGGTAAGAGCCTGAGGCTCGGTGCCTGGCCCCAGCTGGGAGCTGTGGGTCTGGGTTTCAAAAACAAATCCTCTTTCAGCCAAAAGCTCTGGAAGCCGTGTGTCTAGGAGGCGAGCACCCGCAGGAATGAACTCGCTCTTCCATCTTCTTCTGGGATCTCAACCATCCCAGGCCCTGGTGGCCATCGCGGGCCCTTCACTCCCAGCGCCTGCCCTTCCTGAACCCTGGGGGGGTGGGGGGTACTCACCGGCGTTGCTGGAGGAGGCGATGCCCGGGTCGCTGTGCGAGCGCGGCAGCAGCAGCGGCGGCGCGGGCGCCGGGTGAGGGGGCCGGTGCCCGGGTGGGGTGAGGGAACCTGAGCTGTCGCTGAAGCGGCGAGGGGGCGCTCTGCCGGGAGGGGCTGCGGCTGGGCGGCCGCCTCCGCGGGGGACCCGCCGCCGGAGCTCGGGGAAGCAGGGCGCCACCCAGGGCGGCCAGCCCTCCAGCCGGTGGCAGCGGCGGGCCGCGGGGGGGGCGCCCAGGGGAGCGGGGGGCGCCTCCGGGGCGGAGCAGGAGTAGGAGCGCGCGGCCCGCGGCGGCCGCCGGGGCAGCGGGCTGTCCTCGAAGGGGCCGCGCAGGCCGCAGTCCAGGCTGAGGCAGTAGCCGGCGCGGCTGCGCTGGATGGAGCGGAAGAGCACGTAGTCCACGGAGCGGACGGAGCCCTGCAGCTCCAGCAGGCACGAGTCCTCGGACGGGCTGGAGCCCCCCGGGAGGTCGCCGATGGCCGACAGCACCAGCGACCCGCTGTCCATGGACACTGTGGGCAGCAGGGGGCGCTGGGTAGCACCGGCCCGGCCCAGGCAGTTTCCCTTTGCTCAGGCCCAGCCTCTGGGGGCCCGCTCTGCCTGGTTTTATCTCAAAGGAGAGACGGTTTTATCTCTAAGCCCAGGATTCCACGAAGCCCCCGCCCTCGCTTGTCCGCACACCACCAACTCGGCCTTGTCTCCCCGTTTCGCTCCCACCCGGCTCTGCTCTCCCAGGCCGCCGGCCCTGGTCCATCCTCCCCACTTCCTGCTCACCATCTACAATGGAGGCCACCCGCTCGCAGATGCAGGAGCCATCATGAAGCTGAGGGTCAAACAGAGTGGCCTGCGGAAGACACAAGGGTCAAAGGTCTAGCCCTGCACACTGATATGGCCACCCCCCTGTGCTGGACAGAACTGGGGCGTTCCAGGTTCCAGTCCCGCTGTGTCACTTTGTAAAGTCCCTTAAGTGGGCCTCTGTGTCCGTATCTGTAAAACAGAAATCACGGTTCCTACCCCACCCACCTCACCGGGCTCTGGGGAGATCAAAGATGGCAGTGGATGTGTTAGTGCTGTAAGATCATGGGAACTGTTCTCATCTTTATCCAGCGACTGCAGCTCACTCAGCGTTCATGCTCTAGCCCTGGCTCCCTGGCCCACACCAAGCCTTGCTCTCACCTGGCTGTCTCCTCGTAGCCCCATAACGGCCTCATAAGAAGGGGGGCAGTCAGTAGGGTACAAGGGCACTGGGCTGTCCATGGAGCCGTTATAGGTGATGCTGGTGGGAAGAGGGAGAGAGAGGGTCAAAGCCTGGAGAAGAACTATTCCCCAAAGACCCTCCCCACCAATCAGGGCTGCAGCCAAAGCCCCCTTCCCCTGCCTTCGTTTCCCCAGCAGGAGTCCGCCAGGCCTCACCTCTGTGCATCTGTTTCTGAGCTGCAGGTGTACTCTGGGGGGTAGTAGGGAGGTGGGGGCACAGGTGGTACAAATTCCTCCAAGTCCAACATGGTGTGCAGGAGAGGGGCCGGGGGCGAGGAGGTGCAGCCCAGAGGCCCCAGGGGACCTGAGACGGAGCGCTCAGGGGCCAGCTGCTGGGGAGCAAGCAATAACCCAGGTTTCTGGTTATTTGGCTCCCAAACTCCTCACCTCATCTACATTTTCTGGCCCCGCCCTCAAAGCTGCTCAGCTTGGCCCCTCCCTCAGCCAGAACCAGCCCCTCCCCTAACCCTGCCTCCACCCAGGACCTCCAGCTCTGGCCCTGCCCATCTAAAATAATTCCTCCTCCTTATGACCCCATCTCCATCCAGAATCACCACCTGCTCTGTCCTCACCAGAACATCAACTCTTCATCCCCACCCCCACCTAGGCCCTTCTTGACCCCACCCAACTTCTAGCCCCACTCTTTAATGCCCCCTCTCCTGGCCCCCGACTGGCATCACATACTTTCTTACTCCCTGTCATTCCTCTCCTCACCACCACCCCCTTCGGACCCCCTTAACATCCCTACAATAATAGACATTCCTAATAGGTGATCTACAGCCCCTGGTGCTCAGAGGAATCACTGTAGTCACCACCCCCTCAACCCCAGGCCCAGCACATACACCCCTGCCACCCCTCCATTACATCTGCTTGGCCTTGACCCCAGCTCCCCCCTCACCGTGTGCATGAGGTCAAGGGAGAATATTTGGATGCAGCAGACAATAGCTGAGACAGTACAGATTATGGTGGCACAAACGGTAAGTCCGCAGACGCTGAAGAGCAGGTTCTGGGAAAAGAGAGAGAGAAAGAGGGATGTATGAGTGGAATGGGTAATCCCACATAGCCTGGGCCTGTGAGGACCCCAGGAGGGGAGGCATGGTGGGGGAGGAAGGAATGGTAGGGCGGGGGGGGGGGGGGGGTGTGTGCATGCTCACCTTGAGGGCCCCTCGGGCTTCATCACAGGTGGAGTTAGGGGCAACTTTCAGTTCCTGCCCTGACTCTGGACAGGGCCGGAGGAGGGGGCCGGAGGGGCAGCACACACAGACCTTCCCTTCCTGAGGGGGAGCGGGGAGGGGAGACAGACTGAGTCAGGTGTCCCTCACATCTCCCCCAGCCAGCTCTCTCCGGCCCGCCCTCCTCAGGTCTCACCGTGGAGCAGTGGCGGAAGTCTCGGGCCAGCTGAGCATTCTTGCAGGAGAGAACAGAGCCAGCCATGCTGAGCATGACACACAGCACCGACAGCAAGGAGAAGAAGGAGATCTGGGGAGATAGAGTGCAGGCTCAGGGCTGGGATGCTCAGGAGCGGGGGCCACCAAGGAGGGAGCCACCCTCCTTCACACTCATTCGTGCCTGGGTGGCAGGAACCGGAGAGCCAGTTCCCTTCTTGAGGGCATAAATGGGCATCCCCTCAGGTGCTGGGCACCTGCCTCCCAGTGGACACCAGACCCTGGCACCTACCACTAAAGTGAATGGCCGCTTCCAGGACACAATGCCAACTACCCCGGAGAACGCCAGCTGGGGACAGAGTGGGCACAGGCTCAGCCTGGCAGGGGAGGCACCTGAGTGAGCCCCTCACCACAGGGTGCACCCAGCCCTTTGAGGAGGGAGAGAGGGCCAGGAGAGGGAGGAGAGGCCAGGATTTGAACTGGCAGCTGGTGTGGAGGGGTGGGGCCCAAGGAGCCGCCCCCACCCAACAACTGTGCACCCAACTCACCGAGAATCCAGCCCAAGACGGGCAGGACCTCTTGATGCTCTCGGTGGTGGTGACAGAGGAGGCCACCATGCTGAAGGTGACCACCAGGATGCCCAGAAGCACCTGGGCCAGCCCCAGCGTGAGCAGGGCCTGCAGCCAGGGTCGGTGGAGGCGGAGGTGGGTAAGGCCCCGGGTACTAGGCCGGCTGGTAAGCGAGCGGCTGGAGTCACTGGGCGAGGGCATCATGCCTGCCGCCCGGCTGCCTGCGCCTCGCTCGGCCCCCCCTGGCGCTTGGGAGCATCTCAGAGGAGCCCAGGGCCCCGTCCTTCCTCCTCTCCACCCCACTCGCTCTAGAGCCCACCCCCTGGCTGGGTCCCCTGGGGCATGGCTCAGGGACTCCAGCTGGAGGGGCGGTCAAGGCAGGGAAGTCACAGAGGGGCCGCGGAGTGCTCCCTCCCCAGCACGGGCACTGGATGGGCACCGTGCCCAGGATGGCGATGAGGGCGCTGGGACACAGGCTCATCGCATCTCCCTAGGGAAGAGGGGCGCCGAGAAGGGCAGGTCCGGGAGTGAGGAGAGGGAGCGGGGAGAGGACGGAGGTCGGAGCCCAGGAAAGGATGGGGAAGGTGCAGTCCAGAGGATGGGAAGACGTCTAGGGAAGAGGGGAGGGGTCGGCGTGGGTGACTCTAGAGGGCGGTGGACGTGCCTCCGGTGTCCAGTGGGATCCCAGGCTGGTGGGTGGGCTAGGCCAAGGCACCGCTGTCTCCAGAGTCGCCAGCCCCGCTCCCCTCCCCACCACGCTCCGCTCCCCCACCTCCGGCTGCAGCGGGTTTGGAGGCCGGGGGTGGGGATGGGATGGTGCGAGAGGAGGAGCGTGGCTGCGCGGTGCACCCCGGGAGTTGTAGTCAGGACAGGAGACCTGCGGCGGTGGCGGGGTGGGGGCAGGAGCTGGCCGCAGAGCAGGCAGGCAGGTCTGCGGGTAAGGTAAGTGCTCTCCAGTCCCTGCCTCTACCGACCCACCGGAGCCAACAACCCTTTGGGCGCTGGCTTGAGCCCCACCCAGCCTCTCAGCACCCCCCCCGCCCCCCCCCCCCCCCCCGCCCCAGCCCCCCTGCGTTCTCAGTAGAGGCAGCAGCTCTTTCCGGGTCATTAATGGAAGGGTGGGGAGCAGGGCTCCCTGGTGAGTCTGTGATTCCACGCCCAACCGTGGACTTCCCTCCTTCTTCCTGCACCAGCCACCCTGTCACCCAGCTCTGCTGCCCCACCCGGGACAGCTGGCAGTTCACACTGAAGCCAGGCCTGACCTTCCTCTGGAATTCATACTCTGCCTTCACTCCAGTTCCCTCACCCAGGATATTTTCCCACTGATTTCTTGGAGTGGAGGGTGTGAGAGAAGCACATTGATGGGTTGCCTCCCGCACTCGCCCTGACCCGAAGCTCTATCCACTGAGCCAAACCCACTAGGGCACTCTTTCTGTCCTAGTTCCCAGTAAAAATTCCAGAAACAGGAATTTGAGTTCCAGTTCCACTGTCTTTTTATTTAAATAATCGAAGCAACAGCCTTGGCACAGCAGAGGGAAGCCGGGTTGGGGTGTGTAAGGGGCGGCAGCGGTGTGGCCTGATTGGGGAGTGGGGTGTAGGCAGAGCAGTGACGGGGTCACAGTGGGCTCCCCGCACCCCTAAATCAGGTTCAGCAGTCACAGCTGCGGGGTTGGGCACTAGACAGGAGACATCAAATAGCCATGTCTCACAAGTCCCAGAGACCTCAGGGCGAGGGGCTCAGTCAGCCCCCTCAAGTGGCAGGGCCAGGGCATCCGTCAGGCGTCACGGGGCCCGGAAGGCATTTTCAGCAGCCCCGGCGGCTGCATTGGCGGCTGCGGTTCGCATCGCGGGGTTGGAGAAAACACCAGCAGCAAATTCTTGCTGGGCCTTCTGAAAGCTGGCACCTGTGCGGCGGTACAAGGAGTGGATCTGCAAGTAGAGGACAGAGATATCAGAGCACATTCCGGCCACTGCTGCTCTACTCCAACCCAACCCCGCCACCACCCTCCCCAGCCGGCTGCTCTAGACTTCCCTTGGATCCCCTCCAACACACACACACTCCCCCTACCTCAAAGGTCCATTAGCTCAGAGCCCGCCCATCAGCCTGGCCCTCCCCAGTTCCTCCTGAATGTTCCGCCCAGGCCCCTAGGGACACATGATCTCACTCTCCTGGCCCCACCCTCAACACGGCCCCTCACCCGCTTTAGCATCACAATTCCCAGCACGGCGATGCCAGTGAAGAACAGGGCAACCAGGAGCATGAGCACAGCTACCGCCGTGTTGGTCCTCAGCACCACCAGAGCGGAGATCCAGCCACTGTCAGGAGGGACAAGGATGTGGCAGTGAGAGGCCTGCTCATAGCTGGGTCTCTGTCTTCCCAGCTTCTCCACTGGTTATGTCGCAAACAAGCCCTATTCCCACCCTTCCCATCGACCGTCACTCCTATTAGTCTGGCAGCTTCCTACGCACCACATTCCCAAGCTACATCCACTCTCTTCATAGTTCAGACCCACTTTCGGAACTGCCTCCTAGCTCTCCAAGCTCTTCCAGACATCCTCACTCTAAATAGACTCTTCTGGCCCTGGCTGGAGAGCTGTTGGTTACAGCATCAAGGTTGTGAGTTCGATCCCCAGTCAGGGCACATACAAGAACCAACCAATGAATGCATAAATATGTAGAACAAATCTCTCTCTAAAAGTCAATAAATTAAAATAAAATAGACCCTTCTGTTGAAGATTCTCCCTCTGCTCTTCAACTGTGA